GACTTCAGCAGGAAGAAATTACCCTCTGTACCTATATGTCCATCCAGGGAAGTACTTCGGAGCCCACGTGAACAATAGGCTGGGCTAAGAACTCTGAGGCTGTGTATAAGCAGGGCCAGAGCAAACTGTACTTTCTGCAGAGGCTCAGGTCATTCAATGTCTGCAGGACCATGCTGAAGTTCTTCACAAAGCTCATTAGCTTTTGGAAGCTTGGTGGAGCTTGATACTTTGGTGGTGGTGCTGCATAAACTACAGTACATCATGCACAGTGACTCTCACCGTCTCCATGATGGTCAGGCACAGGAGCACTTTCAGCAGCAGACTGTTACCACCCAGATGAACCACAGAATGCCACAGGAAATAATTTCTTCCTGTGGCAATCAAACTCTACAACTCATCTACCTCACTCAGAGAGATGGACAGCAGAGGTATGGGGTGCTGAGGTGGCACCACTCCAGCCGTCATATCAGTTCTGTTGTGCTCTGTATAAGTATCCTGCTTTCTGGACCACTGTCACCCTGTGGATTACTGTCATTACAGCTCTGACTAGTTTCCATGGATCTAATGTGTAATGATGGAACACTGAGATATTGTGGAATAATCACATACACTTACCTGTTTTTATGAATACACATATATAGCTATGTGCCAGTTCTTATACATACACTTTAAACCCAAATAAGTTCAGAATATTCAAAATATTTGTGGAAACTGATTACTTCAAACTTTAAGTAGTTAGGTAATAATATGAGTAAACCTTAACTTAAATATAATACTTAAATTCCACCAATTCTTTACTCAATAAATGTAATTTATGTGTAATGTACACAACTTATACTCTATGAGGGAAATCTACTCACAAAAAAATTGTGCTAAACTCACTCACCCAAATTACTACTAGTCAACTTGAAATTTACAAAATGCCCATTTTCAGATAGTCCTGAAAAATATGAATACAACTCCAGTGTTGAGTGATAACTTGAATCTTGAGCTAAATAAAATTTCCTTTTACTACTTACTTTACTGTGATTTGGGGAAAAAGCAACTATCATAAGCATAATCATAAGCAAATAAAGATAGCTAATAAACATTGTTTAAAATAAGAAGTCCCACACAATGCAAATTGTTAAGTCAGGTAGACGAGGTAATGGAACAATATCAAGGTTTCTGCAGGTTTCACCTGGTCAAATTTAAGACCTTTTTAAGACCGTTATGAATGAAGTTTAAAACCTGTATCACAACTTAAAAAAAAAAAAAAAAACGTACAAAGGAAATGCAGTCACAAAATTACTTGCAGAGTAAATCAATGTATTCAAATTAGGGTTGAGTGATGTCTACAAAATTGGCATTGGACGATGTCAACAATGAAACACCGGGATGGACGATGACATTGACAAGTTATGTAATTAACACGCTGGCATGTGGTGCACTTGCGGATGTGAAAAATGGAAAATAAATAAATAAAACAAGTTCTGTGTCTTTTCGGCGACTTTATAAAACTTACTAACTTAAACCTACTGCTGATGGATAAACTCAGGGGAGCAGACAGGGAGACAATAATAAACTACACCCTAAAAGCTAAACTTGCTAAATAAGTCTACTGGGGTAGAATTCTAACCATTAGATCTGGGAAAATTCATTTGGTTAGTTTTGATGCTCTCCACAGTGATTTTATATTCATGGTGCAGCATCAAGCAGTTTTAATCCTCATCACCTTATAATGGCAGGAAAACACATGACCTCAGAATCATTACAGATAGGACAGTTCATTTTTGCCTTTTGTGTCTTAATTTACTACTTTATACATTTGTAGAAATTAATATAAATAATAGGCAACATGAGAACCACCTCCCTTCTGTATTACAATACATTTTCGGTTTGCCGTCAACTTTGGTACAACTGCCAATATTCAAGTTCTAAAAGGTATCTGCAGCCCTTTCTAATGCAAAGGCATGGATGGTGAGGTTGGAAGGGGGGTTCCAACCTCACCATCCAGGAAAGGAAGACTGTGACATCTCTCAGCAAGGATCAAAACATCACTATCCTACTTGCTGACAAAGGAAGATGCACGGTAGTCCTTAACACAGCGGACTACCAGAACAAGGTCAACACACTACTAATGGACACAAACACATGAGACACTGAGACGAGACCCAACCAGCGGATTCAAGAAAAAGGCCATAGAATGTCTACAACAGCTACAGAAGGACAACACCATCACCCGTGAACAATATTACCGTTTGTATCCTGGAGAAGCCATTCCATGCATTTATGGACTACCCAAGATACACAAAGAAGGAGCCCCACTCAGGCCGATTATCAGCAGCATTAACTCGGTCACCTACAACATTGCCAAACACATTTCTACCATCTTAGCTCCTTTGGTGGGAAACACATCTCACCACATCCAAAACTCCATTGACTTTGTAAACAAAGTTCGAGGACTAAAACTGGATCCAGATGAAACCCTGGTATCCTATGATGTGACTTCTTTGTGCACCTGCATCCTTACCATAGAAGCAGTAGAAACCGTAAGGAAACGGCTAACTCAAGACAACACCCTGGACAACAGAACTAGCCTCAGCCCTGACCAGATCTGTAAATTACTCGACCTCTGTCTAAACACCACCTATTTCCAGTACAACGGGGGATTCTACAGACAGAAGCATGGCTGCGCCATGGGCTCACCGGTATCCCCGATTGTGGCAAACATATACAGCTAGGGGTCATGAGAACACTGCACCACAGAGCGGAAAACATACCAACAAGAGAAGGAACAGAACCACCTGACGGGGGCACTTACAGCCTGTGGATACCTTAAATGGACTTTTGTGAAAACAGCCAAAAGATCCAAGAAGAACAAAACTACAGGGAATGAGGAAAAGAAGGTCAAACGCAACAACATTGTGATTCCATACGTGTCTGGAGATTCAGAGAAGCAAACACAACATCCCTGTGTTCTTTAAACCCAAGAACACACTAAGACAGATACTGGTACACCCCAAAGACCGCACACCCAAACACAAGAAAAGCAATCTAGTGTATGCAGTCAAATGCAGTGAGGAATGCACAGACCTCTATATTGGGGAGACTAAACAACCACTACACAAATGCATGGCTCAACACAGAAGGGCCAACTCCTCAGGTCAAGACTCTGCAGTCTACTTACATCTGAAGGACAGAGGACACTCGTTTGAGGACCATCAGGTGCACATTTTAGACAGAGAAGATGGATGGTTTGAAAGAGGGGTCAAGGAAGCCGTAACCTATTGGCCTCAGGGGAAGATACCATCGATGGTCGTTCAGTCTTGGCCTTGGGTAGTCCTAACGACTGTAACAATCGTTGTTACAGCAACCAGGAACACTAACGAACCAGCAGTATCGACGATCCTGGGAAACGACCCCAATGAGGTTAAATCGCTTAGTTTCCCTGCCAGTCAGTCAGAACTGAAGAAGTCCTTTGGATGAGGGACTAAACGTCTTCCAGTATCTTCAACCCAGTCCAGTTGGTGCTGCAGAGCCAAAGGATCGGGGTCTGAGTGAAGACTGGCAGAGACAGACACAATGAATCAGCTATCAGTTATCAATCCCTTTTGAAGCAATCAATCTGTCCTCACCAGTCCCAGTCTGTCCGTCTCTGTCTGTCCTCATCTCTGTCTCTTGCAGGGCTGGTTGTTGTTCTTGATCAGCTGGGCCTTGATGCGTTCTCCCAGTGTGTTATTGTGATTGGACGCCCAGTCTCTCAGGATGCTGGTGCTGAACTGGTCCTCTGGGTGACAGGGACAACTCAGGACCATCTTCACCATCTCCTCACTGGACCTGGGACACACAGACAGCGACGTTAACGGGGACCCAGGAGTCTCTAAGACGAGTGTCCAAGTGTGTTCCTGTCGTACTTCTCTCTGCGGAGCAGCAGCAGCAGACAGGACAAGACAAAAGAGTCAGAAGACTGATCAGACTGGAGGACAGGGATCATTTCCTGGACATCACTCACCTTTATGTTTAAGGTGCTGCAGGATGGGCATGATTGTCTCCAGGTGGATGTTGTGAGCCAGGAACAGCTGCTGTACTATCCAAAGAAGGTTGGACTTGGTTGAAGATACTAGAAGATGTTTCGTCCCTCATCCAAAGGACTTCTTCAGTTCTGATTTACTGGTAGGGAAACTAAGCTATTTAACCTCAGTGGGGTCGTTTGCCAGAATCGTGGACACGTTTGTTAGTGTTCCTGGCTGTTGTAATGACAGTCATTATGGTTGTTAGGACTACCGTTACCACAGTTACCTCAGAATAAAAGTGGTTGTCTCGAGTTGAAGTGTACGAGTGTGTGAGCTCACAGTAGTGCGGAGCAAAACACAAGACCTTTAGAGGTCTGAAATGTAATTACAAGATTTGTAAAAAATATTTTCGGTTCATTTAGAAACTATGGCGGAGCAAATTAGACTATGGCGGGCTGCCATGGTCTCGTTAATTAATGGGAAACACTGTTTTGATTCCATATGTGTCTGGAGTATCAGAGAAACTCAGGAGGATTTTCAACAAAGACAACATCATACATACATATACACACACACACACACACACACACACATATACATATATATATATATATATATATATATATATATATATATATGACATTCCACGTGACTGATGACGTCTGAGCTTCGGACATCACAAGAGTTTGGCGCCAAACGATGCTGAAATATGAAGGGGGCGTGGCGTGAGCAAGGGCGCGACTGGAGGGCCTTGACGTCACCATTGGATCTGAATTCAGCGGACGAAATGTAGCAAAACATATACTTTTAAATGGTAACAGTGGTGCTTTGAACACACAGTTGTGTATGCAAGCACTCATTTTTACTGCATTTTTAACCACAGCTGTGTTTACAAATGTGTTGCAGCTGATTGGGTAACACCTCTGACACGCCCACCAAACGGGAAGCCCGTTGCCCAACGTTGCACAATGTTGATTGAAAAACTGTTAATTAATAACTAATTTACAAAGTTCAGCTTTCTTTGCAGTGTTTTTTCTGTTCTGTGACTTTATTTTATAACTGTACAATGGGATGACCGGAGGCAGTATGTGCAATCAGTTTGTTGCATTCCTGTTATGCTAACATGAGCTAACGTTAGCAACCGCTAGCTAACGTAACGGATCACCAGTGGCTGAAACCTTGGACCAGACAGTCTGTCCAGACAGTCGTCAACACTTATGATTTTTCATCTGGGGCTGCTCCTTGTTACATGCGCTTTGGGCTGGTAAGTGAAAAAGTTCTGTTTTCAGGCGTAGTAATGTTAATAGAAAGGCTAACGTTAACGTTACTTGAAGTTAGCTGGCTAACACAATGAGGAACTTAGTTAACGTTACTTTAGTCCTATAACGTTACTGTGGAGACAGTCAAGCTCTGCCTTCATATAAGTTAACAAGCTGTTTCTGAACGCAGTGTTTGTAGTAATATGTAGGTTCCTCAAAAAGTGAAAACATTCAATGTGGAACAATATAGAGCCTAGTTTCACTGATATAGGTTAAATGTGATATGAAAACCCCTCCAGTTGTGAGATTTTCAAGTCAAATCAGTTGGAACTGTATAATTATTATGTTTGTATGATAAGTATTTAATATGTTTATATTTAACTTATATCTGTTGTAATCTGTTTTATTAGATCTGTCCTCAAGTGTACCTGAGCACTGAGTTTCCTCGAGCTTCAAAGACATTTCGGTAAGATGTATCCTGAAATAGTGTTGATGCATGGCTGAATGTCAGCGGGGAACCTAATAAACCCCTCAGCCCTTAAATTGCAGACACAAGTTGCCACATCTGAAGTGGCTGTAATATGTATTTGTAAAGGAATATTTTTCCACTGTGGTAATGAAAGTTGCTGAGGAATGTTCAGTTTTTATTTAAATTGAACATTATTTGTTCATTTTGGCAGATGTAGTTTGTGGTCTGGTGAACTGAATTGATTATAAGCAGCTGAGTGTCTTTTATTTAGCATGGCCTCACTGATATAAATGGTATGGACAAAATATCAGAAACACCAGTCCATGTGATCCAAAACGATCATACAGTTGCAACAAAAACTGAACATTATCATTTTTATGAAGGGAGGATTTATTGCAGAAATGTTGGAATACACTGCATTAAATTTAGCTAGATGTACCAAATAAACTGGTAACATTTATCACAACTATAAACTCTGCCCATATCAGATGTTGTGTGGCCTTTATTTTGTAAACTAATCAAAAGTTGGTGTTCATATATTGTGTGCTCATTATCATGCCCATAATCACCTGCCTTGTGAAAGCAGCTCTGATATTGGTGAGTCAGATAAATTATAAAATATTGTATTTTTTAAGAAAATCAGCATTTGATGATGTTCTTGTTGACTGGGCTAGTGGGAAATCTTTATAGTGTTTGTTATATTTGCTCTCACAGGATCAAACATAGTATTGAGGGGCACTACAGCTATCCAAGGTATGTTATCAATGTGCATATTTCTGCATCAGTTGTTGGCTTGCTAATCAGACATGCTGAGGATATAAAAAAATACTACATTGCTAGAACTGGAGCCAACAACATTTCACAGTGGATGACATTTTAACATTAAAGAAGATATTTTAACCCTGACTTGAGACGTAGGTGGGATGTTGTACTGTTTTAGAAAAGTGCATTAGTCCAGCTGTGACTGTGAGATTTCATAAAGAATGTCTATATTTCAGAAATGATTGACAGTGATCAAAAGCCAAGAAAACTATTACAGCATTAAGTGTAAACATTTTTCACTGTAGGCTCTGTTAAAGGCTGTTATAAACTTATGATGAGATGGTTGAACGACTCCTTTATGGTTCTTAAACTGTTTAGTACCTGACTGAAATTCTTTCTCAGCCCTGTTCAGACCAAAAATGGCACTGTTGAGAAAGAACACAAGGGTCTGTGTTGGTGTGGGAATGTTGCTTCAGATAGAAGCTAAATGATGAAACAATATTAGTCTAGTTCAAAATATATTTGATTGGCCAAGTCAATTCTTAGCCACATAATCTTCATTTTGATGCAGCAAAACCTAAGTTTGCTTGAAGAAGAAGGATGCATTTTCTTTTCTTGTCAATGCAGCGGTCCATGTCCATTTCTCAGGTAAAAACTATATTCTTTTTGCCATATAGTCAGCCATCCTGCTTAAAACAAGTAATTGATGCATTATGTTTTTCTATCAAGGCCCAAGTTGGAAACCATTAATCTGCATACATTTATGTGTATAAAATACAGCTTCCAGTTACTTTCTATAAATTGAGCTAATGTTAAGTTACATAGCAGCTATGTAGCTGCTGTAGAAGCTTTCCTGCTCAGCTGCGCAGTCTGTAGGGGAGGGGAGATGTTAGCTAACTTAGCGCTAACCGGCTTCACTTTTCCAGCAGGTGGGAACCAACAGACTTTTCTTGGTCTTGAGAAGCTAACACACTGTAACAGACACCGTACATTTACTGCCAGAATATTTTCCTCCGCTCGGACAATCAAACACTCGCTACGCACCTCCTGATTCAGAGTTACGCTGCTCTTATAACACCATCTGTCACGTATGTTCTGCATAGAACGAGGAGAGGAAGCAAGCTTGAGAGATACACACCATAACTGATTGCCCTGTACAGGCAGATGAATGGCCAAGAGAGCAGAGATCCTCAGGATTTATGACCTTCAGGTGAGTTTAAGATTACCTTTGCTGTAGCAACAATGTCAAGTCAACACAGATTGGGACCTCTGTACTATAATAGTGAAATTTGATAATGATATTGTGTTGTGATGACTAGGAGGATAGAGCCATCTACTTTCAATTTATTACTTGATCACTTTAAAAGCCATTTACAAGCTTATTTTTAAATTCTAGGGCTGCCCTGAAAACATAACCCAATTTCACTCAGATTTTATGTGCTGAGCATGACTTTTCTATCCGTCCAAGAGACCAACTCCATCCATGATTGGTCGCCATACGGTTTACTGACAGTTGCAGAGGCACAAACAGAGAGAGATGTACTATCCACAAGCAGCTCACCTGCGGTTGTTACCAGAGAATTGTTGGTGAAAAAGTTAAAAACGCCAGCTGTGTTTTTTGGGCAGTAAAATATATGGCTGACAATGAAAGTTGAAAGCGGACAGATAGCAGCCTGTACGGAACTGCTTGTGTGAATCTCCACATCCCAAAATTGAGAACTGAATACCAACCCAATGAAGGAATAGTCGAATATTTGGGTCCAGCCCAACTGCACTGGCTTCCAAATCTCTTCTATTGTCATGTTTAAGGTTATAGTTAGCTTCTATTTCTCAGCCATTGTTTAAGTCACTGCGTTTGTTTAAATTTGACTTGTCTTTCAGTAGTTGCAACTGGATGGATTTGTTGTTATTGCTATCAATATTATTATTTTAGAATTATATTGGTAGAACTGTTACATTATATGGTTTGATGTGCTGTAAAAAATATTTGTATAATAATAATTATTTTGATTGTCAATCTAGGAACAACACGAGGTACACATGAGATGTCATCCGACCCTCCATGGCCTCCCAGTGAACCTCTTCAAAACCTGCACTGTAAGTACTCACAGAAATGTCAATATCAACGACAAGTAATATGAAATGGAAATGTAATGTAATGAAATGTACTACGGAAAACCAACTTGAATGCCTCTTCCAGCAACTGACAGGTTTAAAGAGAAAAAAGGAGAGGTTTGTGTTTTTTTGTAGTCTATCTCAAAACAGTGCTAAAATATGATGTGTACAGTGAAAAGGTTGCTGTTGGCTATTAGCATCCCCTTCATAGGCATGGCCAAATTGTTAGAAATTAGGGACAAATCCACTCTTCTCCTTTCATGAAAAAATGTTTTCCAAACCTCCCAAGACCTGGGCTTTGATTCTGTGTGTATTTATGTTAGTAGCATTGTCTTTGAACAGGGCGTACTTTTAGAAAAAAAATGAGTATGTGTACCCAATGTGTAACAAAGAAGAAACAGACATCAGAACATGGCTGGCAAGTGATCGCAAGAGAGCGCAAGCATGTGCCCACTAATGATCACAATAGGTCTAAGTTGAGCAGAATGAAATATATGGTGCATGGATCTCAAAACCTAACTTCCCCATATGAGGACACAGGATTTTAGGAGGCTAAGTTTAGCTGAAGCTAAATAAGGCTTAAGCAGTCTAGTAAAAAAATTAAATGGATATTGCTGATAGGTCATTGTGTAGGTTTACTGTTGGAAGGAAGTATCCCACTGCTGCAGCTCAGCAAGTAAACACATAAGACTAACTTCTAAAAATACTTAGGATATGTTTTGTGGCTTGTCTAAGTCAGACTTCTGAAGTCTCATAACTGTTTCTAATGAACTTTAGAATTTTGTCCTCATTCTCTTACAGTTGAGTCAGATTAAGAAAGCTTATAGCGTCAGTATAGAAAGAAGGAATCATAACAGCCACCAGTAACTCTTAACATTTTGGCATGTGAGTAATGTATCAAGACTGGCTTGGAAAAATAAAAAAATATAAAGTGTGTGGGGGGCACCGATGAGCATGCAGTGCTAGCTTTCTTTTATAATTATCCTCATAATTGGATAGTTTGTATTTTGCTGTGCAAAGAGGAACCAGACATTGCTGAACCTCCTCACTGTGGTTACTGAAACTGAAGCTCCTGGTGCAGTCCGCGTCAGCCAAAGTGAAAGGTGGCTGTGGATGGATTTGTCTGTTTCTCTAGTAACCTGTTACTGTAATAATATTACTTTTCCCAGTAACTAAGTAGTGTAACTAATTACTTTTCTAAAACGGTAATATTATTACTAGTTTCTAAGGCAAGTAACGCTGCGCACCATCCTTGACGTAAATCCACGACTCAGCGGGACCGGACTTTGTTGTTCATGTCCACTGAGAGCCAAACACTAAAGGAAGAATGGAGAATGAGGGAGAGAGGCGCTCTTTCCACAGCTGTAAGTAGCTGCTGACATTATTGTGTCACGGGATGCAAAGAATATTGTCGTCTATTGTAAACTCTGTGCGACCAGCAAAAAGCTTTCAACTGCGAACATTTCTACATTTGATTTATTGAAGCATCTGCAGAAGCAGCACAGTGACGGGAAACTTACAGAAAGAAACTCCGGCAGGTGCTGTCACTGATGCTTGGACTCGTCGGGAGAGAGTGGCGTTAACGCAACGTTTTGTAACTACTGAATTAGGGTTGGGCCGATAGACGATGCCATCGTCTATCTGTGATGGCTGACAGACATCACGACATTGAGCCGGTGTTCTGACGATATATGCTGCCTTTTCAAAATGCTACCGTAGCACAAATTGATAGCAGAGTCTATCAAGTCGCTCTGTCCTGTGGAAAATGCTACCTTGTGTGTTCCCTTTTCCAATCCCATAAAGTTATAACTGTCACAGTATTATGACATCTTTTTTTTTTTATTATTATAGCATCATATCAGGGGTAGCGTATTCTGATTAAGACTAATATCCCCTATCAAATAATGCTCCCACTACAGAATCATTTTATATTGCACCACTACTCACTCCATGTGTAATGTAAGGAGATGGGGAGCATGCTGAAATACGATATTATGCCATCTTTATTTAAGATATCGGTGGTAATGTATTCTGATTTTTTTTTTGATATTGCTGACTCAGCCACTGTCGACGGCATGCCCAACAGCAAGGTTGCACATATTTATGGGCATGGAAACAGACCACGCTTGTGGGTGATACACACGCGCAGAACCGCTAAGTAGCACATCTCGATAGGTAGCATAAATCAACAGAACACCGGCATCGTGATTTTTCACATTATACGACCCTGTGAAAGCAGGTTTTAATGACCACGAACATTCTTCTTATTGTTTTTAAGTATGCTTTGCACCTGCTGTTTAAAAGTCGGGATTTACTTGCTATATTTCTTTATTTTAGCCGGTGGCGTTAAGAAATGTTAGGCCTAGGCCATACCTATGTGTTGTGGTGTGGACAGAGTGGACCCAAACGCAACGCTTAAGATGAACAGGTTTTATTTAGGGAAAATGGGTTGAGGGAGTGGCGGATGCCGGGGAAACACGGGCACGGGGAACCGAGGAGACTGAGACAAGGGAGCCGGGAGGCTCTGGGGTCCGAGGAAGAGAGGAGGCACGGGAGAACTGACTGGGGAGGTTGGTGGAGGAGTGTGGTGGCAGGCTGACTGACTGGGCACGGGGAAGAACCGGGAGGATGCTGTGGAGGAGGTCCGAGGGAAGAGGGCAGGGTGGCGGGTGATGGGAGACGAGGGTGAGTGAACCAGGTCTGGAGCAACGACGATCAAGCAGGGGTTGACTGGAGAACCGGGGTAGAAGTACTGTCAGAGAAGAGGCTGATTGCTGGCAGATGTGGCAGGCAGGAGGAGGTGGCTGACTAGGTGCAGGTGCGGGTTGTTGGCTGGGCTGAGGAGTGGAGGGAGAGAGAGAGGGAGAGCACACGCAGGGGAGGAGACACAGGGAGGCAGGCAGAGTACAGGAAAACACCAGAGGAAAACAGAATCATAAGCAAAAAGAGAAATAAAAAGGACACTCACAGTCAGCCAGGCTGCCACCACAACACCTATGCTTTGTAAAAACCACACTCCTTGCTGCTGTTATGGATATGATGTTAGTTAAAAAGTCGGGAGAGACTGCTTTGTGTAGGGGTGCAGGGGTGGTAGCAGTATTTCCCACAATTAGCCCTTAATTTGGATAATTATCAACACTGACCCCACATACTGATTTCCCAAATTTTTACTAAGCGTATTTAAAATCATTTTTGATGCAGACCTTTCATTTGGTTCCCTGCATGTCTATGTATCTCCAAGGGGTCGGCCACAAAATGGCAAGAAACACCGTGTGTTCTCAAGCGGCATGTTTCCTGTCTGCAGGCGAGAAGGGTCCAGCTTCAGCCTGCAGACAAACGTGACAGAGTTGAACTTCCATATATGGTTTGTCCCAGAAGCCACTGCACACAAAACCTGATGAAGTTTATCTCAACCGCTCGGCCCACGCACAGCTGTTAAATAAAAAAAAAAAGAGCCGTTAAGAAAGAGGTGTCAACGTAGTAATCAGTGTACGTTATGTGTTAATATTTACTATACTATAATTATATATTATTAATATAGTACATTTATATTATAATTTCTGCAAATATTTATTTATAATAGCCTAATGATAATAATAATAAAGCAATGTTTCAATTCATACCATTGTTGTATATTTATTTCTTCCAAAGTGATTTTAAGTTTCACAAACCAAGAATATTAATTTAATGTAAAATCACGAGCGAGATGTGTCTCGATTTATGTTAAAACTTTACAACATTACTGAGAATTTAATGACAGAATAACAGCGGTACGAACATTAACAGTTTCGTTCGGCTGTTGCTGGACACGTCTGCTGTGTTGGCTGCAGTGGTCTGTGTGACTGGGGGAGCTAACCGTAGCTAGCTAGCTATTCCTGACAGCCCCCCGAAGTATATTCCTCTTACCCCAACCATCACAGGGTGTCTGCCTAAAGTTATTGATTATATGCATGTCGACCAGTTAACCCTACAGCACATCGGCCGACCTCCATTGTGTTGCTGTGCAGCCTCCGGTAACGTTACCTCAGCTATATAACACCCGTTAGCACCATGGTCGGCACTTGCGGAGCTTCTCAACTCCGAAAACGTTTGAACACATTTTTGATTCACTGCCAATTTTCATAAAACTGCCGATCTTCGAAATCTACACAGTTGATTTCTCGCCTAAAAACTGCTCAGAAGAGTATTTAAAGTTCTGTTGTTGGCTTCTAAAGAATAAAACGGTTTGCATTAGGATCTATCCTGTACGTGAGCTGAGATTAACGTCATCACGTTTTGTGTGCGGTGTCTTTTGGGACAAATAATATTTGGTAGTTCCACTTCCATCAACTTCCGTCAGGTCTGCGGGCTGCAGCTGGATATACTTGGGGTGCTTCTCAGGTCTCTTATTTGTCGTTTCCTTGCTCCTCGCTCCTTCCTTGAACCGGAAGTTGTTCCGCTCTGCCATCTTGTGGGCCGCTCCGAGGAGTCACTAAACTGCACCAAAGTATCTAATGAAGCGAGCAAAGCATCTGATGAAAGCAGCCGGCAGCTCCGCGAGTAAAATCAATTGATGAAAGTGTGAATGAAAGTGCTGCTGCGCTAAAAAAAAAGAGGGTCAGATTGATATGATGGAACGCAGTGATTGATCGATGAGGAGTGATGTGACATGCACATAAAATGTATGCAGTAGTGTTAAACAATATCAGTAGAGGAAATAAACGGAAAGCCAAAAACTGAGCGTCACCTTTGATACAAGTTACATCATTTCAATTTCCCTTAAACATTTAGGCTAATTAATTCCAAGACACCATGATCATATTCTTGGTTATTCAATAACGAATTTACATTCAGAATCAACAAATTTAAATGCAGATAATATCAGCATTGGGCCAGTAGAAATTATCCTGTGCCTTTGATCAGCTGTCGCCGTCATCAGAAACGAACGTCGCTTTATGTGACGCTTCAGAAGAAAGGACATCTTATGTCTCAAACATATTTCC